CTGAAGCACACCAAACCTCTAGAACTAAACTTCCCTTGCAGGCACTCTAACAGAAACAGGAAGTGGAGTCCATGACACCACAAGGAAGCAAGCAAGCCCAGAATGATGCCATTGCACAGAGAACTGGTTTCTAGAACCAGGAAGGGACTGAGAAATGCAGGGCAGATTGTCATCAATGAAGAGAGAGGTCACTGCAACACCCAGCTGCACGTGGACTCCTTGTCTGAGCCTGGATCAAAACAAATCAATTAAATAATATTTTGGAGATAGAGAATTTGGTTATGGTCTAAGATGAGGAATAGAAAATCATCGACAGTTGTCTTTGTTTTGAGTGGCAGTGGTACCCTGGCTACACAAAAGGATTTCCTCTTTTTGGAAGTAGATCTACATTGCAGTCTGAGATGGTGGTGAAACACGTCTATGATTTTTTAAAAATTACTTTAGCAAATAAAAGACAAAAGATACAAGGAGTAAAAAGTGTTTTGATACTCCATTTTGTCAAAACAAGGAAAGTCAGCTCAGTGGTTCACAGTGACTTCTGTGTGACCCTGACAATCCAAGTGGAATCCCTGGAGCCTACAGGAGGAGAGAACCAACTCCTGGAAGTGTCCTCTGACCTCTGCACCCAGAGCTCCTTAGGCCTGCTCCTCCATCTCTGTCTGACACTCCCTCCTCTTCTCTTCTGTTTCTGTTCCCCTGTATCTCTCTCTTTCCTGCTGCTGTCTCTTCATCTCCCTCCCTCCCTCCCTCCCTCCCTCCCTCCCTCCCTCTCTCCCTCCCTCTCCCCTCTCTCATACACTTAATGAGAAGGGGTAAGAATATTTTCATATTCCTGTAACTTCTTACCCATTTGAACATGTAGCTGGCTTGGATGCTCTTTGTTCTTCAGTTATTTACATATTTGAAAGATGCTGAGACCTTCAAGAGATGAAGCCAAGGGGAAATTGAATGGGTCTCAGGGAGAACACCATTCTTAGAGGGATGGAAAGTAGTTGTTAAAGATGGGAGTTAGTTCCTGGGAGATGGCTGTGGCCCAGCGAGCAATCCAGCCTCCTCACCTGACTTGCCACTTCACCACGTGATCTCTCCCTCTGGCATGCCTGCCTGTCTCTGCGAGGTCATCCTAGAGCTGAGCCAATATTCATGCTGTGACTTTGAGCCTCCAAAACTGTCCTAGATAAAACTCTTTTCTTACATTACTTCATCTGAGTATCATTACAGTAGAAAATAGACTCGGGCCTGGGAGATGGCTTAGTGGGTAAAGGTATCACCAAGCGGAAAGGTCCGAGTTTGATACCTGGGACCCACGTGGAGGAAGGAGAGAACTGACTCCAATAGGTTGTCCTGGAACCTTCATGTTAGCACTCTCTACCAAAAGAATAACTGAATCAAAATGAAAATAACAACCAAAAGAAAATAAATTAAATATTACTTTTTTAAAAAAATAAATAACTTAATAAAGTATTGGCTGTTTTAGGCAATATGTGTAGGCAAAAATGCCCTTAAGAACTGTAATTCTGATTAGTTGTTTAACAGATTATTTCAGTTTCTGATCTGTGGAAACTAACGTATTCTCCACAGAGGGCTTTATTGTATTTCTGGTTTTTTTTCCCCTCTCATGTTGTTTATTGCTAAATGTAATCATTTATGATGCTGATCTTGTGTTTTAACATAACAAAAAACCCACTAAGAGGTTAAAAAATTAACATGAAAAAAATTAGAAATGAGTCTCTTATTCATAAATAGAAAAAGGGGTAGGTGGATAGGTGGACTTTTGCAGACTTTTTCATGGCTGCCTTTAATAAATTATATATATATATATCAAATTGGTGTTTTACAGAACTGGCTCACAGAAATGGGCATGAGGGACCGTATGTACAATGCTAGTTCTTAGGCAGAAGAGGCACAGAGGATGAGAAGTTTGAGGCCAACCTGTCCTGGGCTACACAGAGAGTTCTAGGTCAGCCTAGATTAAGTCAGACCTCATGTCAAACAAAACAAAGCCAAGAAAGAAAAAGCAAGGCAGGAAAAGTTTGTCTTGTTTCTTGGGACTGCAACCGAATGGACAACACAGAACCACAAGCTGGTGCTTTGGGAATCTTCCCCCAAGACCTTTGCAGAGTCAATGTGGCCCTCAGCCTCAGGTTTAACCCTCTCTCCATTATACAGGAATACTCACCGCAAGTTGCTAGTAGTGGTCCAGGTAAAGACATCAAATTCATGCAGCATAGTTTATAGTGCAAGTCTAGGACTCAGGGGGGCTGTTCTCACTCTACACTGCTAAACACGTACCTTGGGACCAGTCATTCTCCTTGTCTCTCTCTCGTCTGTAACATGAGGGAGTAAACAGCACCTCTTGAGTAGCCCTCGTTCCATGGCACCGTGGAATTTCTCACACTGAACAAGTTAGATATTTAGATTAAATGCCTCTAAGGAAAGCGAGTGTCGGGGGAAGCCAGGAAGGGCTGACTCAGCAAAAACCCAGCGGGTTTTCAGAAATCACACAGTCTGTAAGTTGACTTCCCTCTGTGGCAAAGCATTTGTTTTGAAGGTGTCTAGATAAATGTCATTCTTCAACGGCCGAGAGTGCTGGTGTCTGACATGGTAACTTGATCATAAATGGCATAGCTGGAACGTCAAACAACCTGACAGTTTCTGTTCAAAGTCCCCCTGTCCTCCAGGGGAACAGAGATGGGATGGAATAGTGAGGGCCACACAGTTCTATCCAAATAGTGGGCAAGGAACATTGCTGAAGAAGTATGTGTTTCCTAAAGGAAAGGTTTTGAAACTTTGAAGGTCAAAATCAGAATGATTTGGGGGCTTTGCATACAATGCTGACACAACGTTTCAGCATCGTTAACAGAGGCCATTCTGTGTAGCCCAGGCTGGCCTCCTACTCGGTGATCCTCCTAACTCAGCCTCCTGAGACTGGAATTATAAAAAGATGCACCACTTGTAATGGTGTCTTGATTGTTTCCTTGTCTCAATACCATTATAAACAAGGAAAGTCAGACACAATAAGCTTATAGATTACACTCTAAAGTGTATTAGACCGAGGATTTGAACTGGGCTCTCCATTGGCATGGAAGTAATTTATACATGTAAAGATAAGAAATATGACACTCACTGCTTATTTATTTATTCAGCCAGACAGGTTGTCTCTGTGTAGGCACTCCTGGAACTCCAGCTCTGTAGGCCAGGCTGGCCTTAAAGTCTGAGATCGGCCTGCCTCTTTCTGCCTCCTAACAGCTGGGATTAAAGGTGTGCACCACATGTCCGGCTTCATTGCTTCAGCTCCCACTCCAGGTGCATCAAGGACAGCAGTCACAGGCTTGATTGATGGAGAGGGACCTGACAGCATGAATACATGAGTGACATGTTTATATTTTTTGTTCCTTAGTAACCAGCTGGGTTTATACATGGACCGTCTCAGGCTATTTCCTGAGATATTATAAGACTCTTGCCATGACTAATACTTTTCTTTCTCTGAAATACTCTTTTGTTTTCGTTGATTTCATGTGATAAACGTCAGAGTGCCAGCAGGCTCTGTCTACTGTGATATGACGCAGAACAGGAACGTTCTCAGATGTGACTAGCTGTACTAACACGAGAACTTCACATGGTCAGACACCCTGGGAAGTAGGTTGACCCTGAGTGGGTGTGGTCAGCCCTCATGATTCTGGGGTAGACAGAAGTTAGAGGAAATACCATTTTAACTGAAGAGCTAAAGCTGTGCCTACACTGAGTTGGCCTTTTCTTTTCCCTGACAAGTACTAATGTTTTCACATCTTATTTTCAACTGTGTCCTGCTGCTGTTGCTACTGCTACTTGCAAGTAAGTCTGGGCCGGTACTTTTCAGATGGAGAAAGATTATCACACAGAGGGCAAGACAGAGATAGAGGATGGGTGTAGTGATGCTATTTCTAATAGTATATGTTGGGAAGTAACCTAAATGTTAACAGTGGAGATCGGGTAGGTAAATTAGACATATCCATGAGAGAAGCAGGGAGCCTAATTCAACAACCTGATACAGATGCTGGGAATCACAATGCTACAGAGAGAACCAAGGTGCCCAGTTATGTGTGTAAGCATTGCCAGGAGGCAGCAATGTGTGGACATTTTTGAATGGTTGAGCTCTAGGGGGATGGGAAGAGTTGGGAGAGGCGGTCCTGCTTTCAAGTATCTTTTCTGTGGTTTGAATACTTTATTATATAGGTGTGTGTATGTGTGTGTTGTTATAAAGGAATTTAAACTTCAGTACAACATTTGAAGAGTTTCAAATATGCAAGCTACTAGTTTTGTTTTGTCAAAACTTTTATCTCAGAGAGAGAGAGAGAGAGAGAGAGAGAGAGAGAGAGAGAGAGATTGAGAATTATTAGGTTACCTTTCCTTTGCTAATGAACAGACAGCTAGCCCAGACAGGTGGGCCACTTTCCTGGCCAACAATTTTTGTTTTTCATTAACCCAGGTTTTTTAATCTTTAAGAAACTGTTCACAGATCTCTTTGAGGACTGAAAAGTATGCGTTTGGGACGGGGTGGGGGTGGGGATCAAGGGCCCCCAACACATGGGAACTGAGAGACATGCAGGTTCTCATGTTCCTTCTCAGGCCAGTGGAGGCAGTCATTTTAGGGAATGAGCAGAGGTTGCCCATGCTGGCCTCAAACTCACTGCAGTTCTGCCACAGAATCCTCAGTACAGGGATTAAGGCAGTCATCACTTTCTGGACCGTTAATTTATTTTTTAAAAGATGATTTCATTATGCAGGCTAGTTTGGGATCTTCCTGTCTCCACCTGCCAAGCTCCAGGTTTAGAGGCATGGGCAATCATAGTAAGTGTCTGAACAGGACTCGCTGCTTCCTCTGGTGACAGAGAATCATTGGCACCGTCAATCCTCCTCCCAACAGGAAAGCCAGAGTTCCCTCTTTAATTCTATGATGCATTACCAACAGAAATGGACCCACTCCCTCACTGTCTCGCCCTCCTCTCCTCTCTGTGTAGGGTCTTTGGAAAATGCAGTTATAGTCGAGGTCGGTAAGAATGCGTATCTGCCCTGTGACTACAGTCTACCTGCACATGGGACACCTGTGCCTGTGTGCTGGGGCAAGGGATCCTGTCCTTGGTCACATTGTGGTGCCAATAAAGTGCTCAGCACTGATGAAAGAAATGTGATACATCAGAAATCCAGAAGATACCAGCTAAAGGGGAATTTCCTCAAAGGAGATGTGTCCCTGACCATAGAGAATGTGACTCTAGCTGACCGTGGGACCTACTGCTGCCGGGTAGAATTCACTGGTCCAGGGAATGATAAAAAAGTAAACCTGGAATTAGACATCAGACCAGGTGAGTAGACCCTTTCCATGTTCTCTTTGTCTATAAGAATCACCCGTGGGTCATGATATCATAATACACATATGGATTATTATCACCTCTAGTTACAGTCCTGGGGGTGGGATGGGAAGGCCCAAGATGAAGAGGCCTCACTGTGAAGGCCAATGATGTACCTGCCATGTGTTTTCATACTCAAGGATGCAGCCTAGAGAAGGGGAAGAAAGGCCTAGACCAGAGAGAGGTTCAAGACCCTGCCTGATCATTAGGTCACGTGCAAACTTCCTTTCTTTAAATTAATTTTTGCTTTAATTTTTTCATACTATACATTTATTATACTCTTTCCTCTCCTCCAACTCTCACCAGATTCTCCCCACCTTCCTACCCACACAACTTCATATTCTTTCTATCCCTTAGACACAGACCTCCACATACACACAAAGCAAAACCAAACAAAACCCCGCCAAAAGTCAAAACAGACAAGTAAAACCAAAACATGAAAAATATCAAACCAAAAAAGTGCTCAGAGTCAAATGGAGTCTGCATTGGCAGGGGGCCTGCTCTTTGTGTGGCTGTGTACCCAGTGACACTCCGTTGGAGGACGTTGGACTTGCCCTGTCTCAGCTGGTGTCAATGCAAACAGCTTCTTAGTTAGGAGTGGCGATCAATGTCCACTTCCCCATCTCAGTGCTGGGATTTGTGTGGCTTGAGGCTTTGCATGTCTGTGAGTGCTGTCGTTGTCTCTGTGAGTTCATATGTGCAGCAGTCCTGTGTTGTCTGGAAGATTGTTTCCTTGGGTTTGTCTACCACCTCTGAGTCTTACGATCTTTCCACCTCCTTCCAGTGCCTGGGCCCACCTGCAATGCAGAAACATTGCCGTGTCTGGGATGAATTTTGAATTTTCTTTTTCTTTCTTTCTTTCTTTTTTTTTTTTTTTTTGCAAATATGTTCTTCAGGTAAGGCAGGAATATAGGCCTTGGGTTGTATGTGCATCTTAAGGAGGTGTTTATGTATAAATTCTTATGTTTTAAAGTTTATAATAGATAGGGTTAGTTATACAGCTCAGCAAAAAACTTTTTGTGGTCATCTGGAACAGAGTTCAAATCAACTGTCCTTACTAATTGTGTAGCATTGGAGCATTACTTCATGTGTGACCTCTTCAGCTGTACAATGTAGTCAACTATCACTAAAAGGATTCTACAAGTTGATGTTTATGAGCGTTCCTGTGACTTTCACACTGGTAGTTCCATCACTGACTAGACAGTGGCGATGGCAACCACGTCCTGCTGCGGTTATGTGTCTGAAGTAGGTGCTATCTCTCTCTGAATGTGACCATGCTGGTTTGAAGGTGAGGGCATGCGTCTTTCGTTTCTCGTCTTTCACGTATTCTCTGCTGCCCTGTGGATTCCCTGACGTAAATCCTAACTCCTGGGCAGGCGAGAGGGCTCGGTGGGTAAGCTCACTTACTGCCAAGCCTGATCCCCTGAGTTTTGTCTTTGTAACCCACATGGTGAAAGGAGAGAAGTAACTGAAAATCCTGATCCTTAATTTTTTTCTCTGACTCAAGCCAAGATCACCCCGGTTGTCCCTGCTCGTGGATACCCTACTCCAACTTCTCCAAGAACCCTGACTACCAAGGGAGACGGCTCAGGTGAGGCATGAGCACAGGTGTGTGTGTTTAGCTCAGATCTCAGTTCACAGAGTTTGGAATATGACAAATAGCTAAGGAAATCACTTTTCGCACTTGAGATATTGTTTGAGGTGAGTGAGGTGGTAGCCACACATGTTGGTCCCTGGGTTAGGATTCTGTAGAAGTCACAAACTAGCCAAGTGACCTGGGCCAAGGCTTTTTGGTTCCCTGGGGCTCTGGTTCCTCTTGTTGTCCAAGGGGCGTGGCCCAGAGACCTCTGGTTTTCCTGTCTCAGGAAAAATAACATTGCCCCCATGGAGAACTTAATTTGGATGTCCACAGGTTTTGCTACACAAAGAAAGAGAACCATTTACCATTGCCATCATGTCATTTAAAAGAGAGTCATTTGGGGCTGTAGAGATGGCTCAATTATTAGAGAGTAAGGTTCACTGCAAACAAGGGCCCCCTCTTACTTAAAGTTTCACTTTTATTACATTTTAATAAATTAATAACTCTCTCTCTCTCTCTCTCTCTCTCTCTTTCTCTCTCTCTCTCTCTCTCTCTCTCTCTCTCTCTCTCTCTCTCTGTGCTCATATGCCATGAATGGCATGTGGAGATAAGAGAGAAACTTAGAGGCACCTGCTCTCTCCTTGCCCTGAATGAGATGAGGGGACTGGACTCAGGTCTCAGGGAAGTGCCATTATATGTGGGGTCATTTTGCAGGCATTTATTTAAAATTTAATTTAAAAAACTTTTAATAAGAAATTGTAGAGAGTTGCATGGAGCACACCTGAGGGTGCTGGCTCCCGCCCTCCGCAATCCCGAAAGCGAGTGCTCTCTATGACAATCAATGATCACGCAATGATTGTCAGCTGCCTGCATATGCGTGGACCTATGGGCAGTGCCCACCTGGCAATCCGGGCTAGGCAGCCTGTGCCTTTTTAAGGGCTGGGAGAGATTTGCCCAGGGAGAGAGAGAGAGAAAGTGAATAAACTCCTGGAATAAACTGCAGTGAGAAGAAGGAGAGAGAGGGGAAAGAGAGAGAGAGATACAATTGTTAAAAAAAGGTCTTGAATAAACTGTCAGCAAGAAGAGCTCCGGTGGTTGCATCATCCTTGCTGGACGAGGTGGGACGTGACAGGTGGTGGCCCGTATGGGGAACCTTCAAATCTCTCTCTCTCCGGGCAAACCCCTCCCAGCCCTTAAGTAGGCATGGGCTACCAACCCCGGATTGCCAGGTGGGCACTGCCCATAGGCCCACACATATGCAAGCAGCTGATAATCATTGCGTGATCATAGCATAGGTCAGGCCTTAGCCATCTCAGGAGTTTGATTATACATCTCCATCAGGTGTGACTCCACGCAGCTCACTACAAGAAATGATTCTATTTTGGTTAGATATTAAGTAAACTTTAAAGGATTATTGTCTTTGTTATTTTCTGATTTACTCTGGGCTGGCACTGTTGCTTATATCTGGGATAAGGGATTGATTTGGTGAAATCAGGGCCCTTTCTAGCTAAACACCGACCATCAGCTTCCTCAGGTGTCAGCCTCATAAGGAGGAGCTCAGTTCTTTCTAGGGCCAAGGTTGGAGCTGTCCCAGGAGACAAAGGAGACAGAAGAAGCTGATCTCAGGGCACATCGATCAGTATGATTAATCTCATCTCATTTCTGGGTAGAGTTCTGCCCTTCAACTCTATGAAGCTCTTTTCATTTTTCTGAAATGGGAGAGGAAAATAGGTTAAGTTCCCTTTCATCATGTAATATAACTCACAAGCTAAAACTTTTAGGGTTTCATTAAGAAAATGAGACCATAATAGTTAGTCCAGTGTCTGGTCACAGTGTATTCTCTGGGTACATTAGCGCCTGTCACCAATGCTGTTAGTAGGGCCAGAAGGCGGAATGAGAAAATGGTTCCCTACTGCAGTGAGAGTAAACTGGGTTCTAAATTCAGTTCCCCTGGCCAGTTCTGATCTCAGTAGTTAGTGCTGCAACAATTCTCTGAAGTTTAGGTTTCATGTGTCATGAGCAGAGTTCTCTAACATCCTGTTTCTGGGTTGGTGTGTTAGTGCAGCAGGTAAAGCCCCTTGCCACCAAGGCTGTCAACCTGAGTTAGATCATAGGTCTCCAAATGGTGGAGAAGGATCTCCCAAAGATCTTTCTCTGACCTCCATATATACACCATAGCATGTCCCATGAGCACACACACACTTACTTGTAGACACACATGCATACATGAACAGTAAGATAAAGTAAAACTTGTTTATTTGAAAATGCAAAATAGTGGTACATACATACATACATCATATAAATATATTTATATATAATTATTTTATTTATATTTATATAGTTTACTTATAACACTCACACACACACATATAAGATTAGGGTCAGGCATGATGGCACATGCCTTTAATTTTAGCACTTGGGAGGCAGAGGCAGAAGGATCTTTGTAAATTCCCATGCCAACTTGATCCAGGACAGTCAAGGTTACTTAGAGAGACCCTGTCTCAAAAAAAAAAAAAAAAAAAAAAAGTAAAAGAAAAAAGAAGAAAGAAAGAACGAAAGAAAGAAATCCAACCGAGTAACTATAAAAAAGATTGACAGCGCTAAGAACCATGGCTGGCACCTCAGTGCCGAGCAGACAGTAACCGTGGCATCTATATACATTTATGACCACTTTATTCCTTCTCCCTGATGCCTGTTTTGAGTGCAGTCTTCAGTTCTCCAAGTAAAACAGAAAACAATATTACAGACATCTCTTGTTCTTCTTTATAGCAAAACAAAATGGAGGAGAAAAGTAAAGAGGTCAGGGCTGGAGGTATTGCTGAATTGGCAGAGTCTTTGTCTAGCCATGGAAGCCCTGAGTTTTATCCCCAGCAGGACGTGAATAAAGTGTGTTGGCACAGGCCTGCTCTCCCTCCCTCAGGAGGGGGAAGGTAGGAGGATTAGGAGTTCAAGGTCACCTGGCTTTTGAATTCAACCCCGACTACTTGAGACACAGTCTCAAAAAAGAAGAGAGAGACAGAGAGAGAGACACACAGAGACATATACACAGAGACAGACAGACACATACACAGAGGGAGAAAGAGAGACAGATAGAGACAGAGAGAGAGGGAGACTCAGACACACAGAGACATATACAGAGACAGACAGACACATACACAGAGGGAGAAAGAGAGACAGATAGAGACAGAGAGAGAGGGAGACTCAGACACACAGAGACATATACAGAGACAGACAGACACATACACAGAGGGAGAAAGAGAGACAGATAGAAAGAGACAGAGAGAGAGGGAGACATATACAGAGACAGACAGACACATACACAGAGGGAGAGAGAAAGAGAGAGAACAAGTCAGTCTTGCCACTTAGACCAAGAATCGCCATGATGGGGAAGCAGAAGTGACATTTCCATTTCAAATATTGCATATGGTGAAGATTCCTGTTTCCTCTCAAGTTCCACCCTGTGGTTTTTCTGCTTTAAGTTGCTTTCAGATAATGAAAACAAAGCTGGAGCGCTTTCCCCGTTAAATGATGTTAGGCTGAGACCGTCTTTGTAATCTTTAAACCACAGTTAGTTAGGCTCAGACTTGCTGAAAGTCTTGGTGCATCCTGAAGAATTTAGATTTAGAGGGTTCAGGAACGCGATGGATTTTTCACACTCTGACTCGGGCACCCAGATGAATGGGTTCCCTTGGTTTTCTGGAGGCTGGAAGCTATGCTTTCTTTCACAATGCAGTGTCTGTAGGCTCTCCTCCTGTCTTACTGGTGGGGCCTTGTTCCCTCTACCTGGTATAAATTAGTACAGCCATTGGCCAGATGAGCAAATGAAGAATTAAATACACTCGAAGGAGAAATTGAAGCTGGCAGATGAGCTATGTGACTCTCTTCATTTTGGCGACATTGCTGGGTGAAGTTGTTGAGGGCCTTGAAGTTACGAAAGTGGCTTTAAAGCCTTGAGAGCCTACACGGGAAGACATTCTCATTCATGAAGTAGGGCGTAACTCATTCTCAGTTCCTTCCCTTGTCCAAAGTGACTAACAGCCTCTACTCATTAGATCATATATATATTTTTATTTTTAAGTTTTGATTGATGTATATTTATTGTTTGTAGAACAGGTTCCTAGAGACATTTTTATTCCAGGAAGGTTATCTAGTATGACAATATTCATCATTCTCTCCTTCTTCTCCCCACCTGTGCTACTTCACTTCTTTCTCAATATAACTTCACCTCTGTTTAATTCCATATGGATGAATGATTTTATTCATCCATTCTAAACACTCCTACCAAAAACCCTTTGAGGAAGAAAGAGTTCATTTCAGGTTCAAGTTTCCCAGGGATAGAGTTCATAATGCTTAGAAGGCATGATATAGTAGGGTCACTTTATCTGTACACTGGAAAAGGGAGTGGGAGAGACAGAGGAAGACAGAGACAGAGGGAGAGACAGAGAAAGACAGACAGAGAGAGACAAAGAGAGATGGAAACAAAGCGCGAAGAAATGGGGTGAGATTATATGCCCTCAGAACCCACCTCACAGTGACGTACTTCCTCTAGCAAGGCTACACTTCCTAAAAGTTCCAATAATTTCCCCCAAATGACACCACTGACTGCGGACTAAGTGTGGGGGTGGTGGAATTTCTCATCCAAACCACCACAACATTTATATACAATCTAGTGTTCCCTAAAAAGAAAAAAACACAGTGTTCATTTTTCTGAATGTGTATGGGGCTAATTTTATGATTGCCAGTTTCCTATGGAGACCAAAAAATTGCCAGTTTCCTATAAATACCATAATTTCATTCTTATTTGTGGTTGACTAATATTCCATTGTGTGTGTGTGTGTGTGTGTGTGTGTATGCATGCCCATGTAATATTTTCTCTATCCCTTCACATGTTGATGGGCACCTAGGCTAACTCTGTAACTTGTCTCTTGTGACTAGCGCAGCAATAAACATGGATGTGCACGTTATCTCTGTGGTGTGTTGGCTTAGAATCCTTGAACCGTTGCATCATGGTA